TTAAAGCCTAAAAGACGACGTAACGCGAGAATTCTGGTCTTCTAGCGACAGACTCGCCGTTTCCGCCCCTAACACTAGTATCGGGATAGTGTAAGTATGAACAATGACTTTTTGGGTACGAAACTTAGGAAAAGCGATTTTAGAGTCACTACTTCTACTCGAATTTCGAAGTCTTTGAACTCAAACTCCACTGAGTTACCCTTTATTTAAGGTCAAGTCGGGTTGCTTATATACTTTCAATTACATAGAAGAAAACTTACTAAATGAGAGGAATTTTATCTATTTACTTTCCTTCTTCAATTTCACCTTTCGCACCAATTTTGTTGATCTATACTATTTTTAAAATTTACACGATTTACCCGATTTACAAAAGTTATAAAAGTTACAAAATTTACAAAATTTAGAAAAATTATAAATTGTGCTACGCTAGTCGTACATCATTACCAGGAGGGGTAATTTTACCGTTTACAACGTACGTACGTAACAGTGTGGACTTTCCGTTTTGTTTACTACTTGATTTGGATAAATGGGACTTGTCGCTACAACGGTTTTCTTTATATCAATATGCTGATCTATAAATAGAAATCTAATTTACAATAGATGTTGCGTTGTATTTCGACTAGTGAAGTGCATAAACTTGTTAAATGCATTTATATACTGTATACTTTTTTTTTTATGATTATGTTTGTGAACTTTGTGAACATATCCGTTAGAAATATTTATTATAAAGGATAATTAGTTTACTGATTACAAAATGACATACATATGCTTAAATTTATGAATGTCGTATGTCAATTAATAGTGTAAATTGACACTGAACATATACTGTATGTAACTTTGCATTTAATTATAAATCAAAATAAACCACCGTAAACTGTAGAATTTAATTTTACAAATAAAATTTAATACGATGTTGGAAGATAGGTAATATCATGCTAATATTTCATCTATTATACAGTAGTATTAATGAATGTATGAATGTATTAACGTTAAAATATCTAATCAAATTATATATCATCTTCGTGTCACGTTCAGTGTTTCGGGCTAAACCCGATTTTGCAGATCATTTGCAGATCAAATTGGGCGAAACTAAAATTCCTCTGGGCGAAACGTTTCGGACTTTGGGGAAGGTTTAGGCCGAAACACTGGTCACATTGTAATTTTATTCGTACTGTTGGTGGCAAAAAAGGCAGGGACACAGACCACCCAATTACCACCCAAAACACACACAACCACCCTATATACTCGACACTAGAAGCAGATTACGGTTTGGCCAGGTTAAGGCATATCAAGAATATAGTGGGACCAAAGAGTTCTTACAAGTTTATACTTAGTCATCGAGTGACTCTCAATGGATTTGACTCCCTTACTGCCAGACTTAAAAGTATTTCAACAGTATCTTCTTCTTTATTAGAGGTAAAACAAGCCCATATTTATAACAAAAATTACATGTGGGGGGGAGAAAAAGAACAAGATTGAATTTTTTTCTAATCTATGCCTCAGCCCATCTCATTATGCCATTATCACTTTGCCTCCTTCGGTTAAGCTTCTAGACTGCCCCAAACATAGGGTCTTGTGGCCTTGGGACTTTGTGGAAACTTTTTCCTTATGATTTCTTTGTGATTCCATAGGAGCTTTGAATTGGGGCTTCATCATATTTCGGGTCCCATGATGTCAAATTCGGCGCAGTGAATTTTGGTGCTTTTGCTACCAACAATTCTCCCCTAACTAAATTTTCACATCCTGTGGAAAATTACTTGGCAGCCGCATGCTTCTGAACCTGGGAAACTCTACAACAAAAAAAACTAAACTAAAATTTTTTTTTTTTTATAGGCCAATTTTTTTAACTTTTGGCTAGGCCCCTTTTTAAAAGTTTTGCTAGGGGGCCAACTTCATTTGTCTTCCTCCAAGGGCGAAGACCAAGGCAGCATTCCACAGCAGTAAGAACGAGATAGCTCTTTCCATTTAGCTCTTCATGGTGAATCAGCCTTTGTCTAAATTTTTTCAACCTTTCCTCTTCTTTGTTCTTATTAGGCCAAGGTTTCTGAACCAAGGCCTCCACGTCATACATATGCCAGAACACCTTCCTTCACTTCTGTCTGCTTCTACAACTTGACCGGGGCAACTTCAAACATCAGGACCTTTGGTGATACAAATTTAGCCCTTCCGAATTTGTCCAATTTACCCTTCATCTTAGCAAAAAGATTTTTTTTTTTTTTTACCATTTTTGCGCAGGTCTTATTTTTCACCAGACCAGGCTCTATTATTACAACTTATAGGCAGTGTAACCAAGAAAAATGAAAAAACCTTTATGCTTTTTTTTTTCTTCTTGTGCAGTACCTATTTGCGTGCCAGCACCAGACTCCAATTTGCGGCTTACAGACCAAAAAAAAAACTTAATTTTTTTTTTGTCTTAATTCACAGCTCTGGATATCAGAGGATCTCACAGTCACTACTAAAAATGTTGGTGGCAAAAAGGGCAGAGATACTGACTACCCAATTACCACTCAAAACACACACAACCACCCTAGATACTCGATACTAAAAACGGATTATGATTTGGCCAGGTTAAGGTGTATCAAGTATATAGTAGAACCAAAGAATGACTTTTATTAAGCAAGCTCTCTTCTTCTTTATTAGGAGTAAAACAAGCCCATATTTATAACAAAAATTACATATGGAAGAGAAAAAGAACAAGATCGAACTTTTTTTCTAATCTATGCCTCAGCCCATCTCATAATGCTATTATCACTTTGCCTTCTCCAGCTAAGTTTTCAGCACTGTTTCAAACATAGGGTCTTGTTGCCTTGAGGCTTTGTGAGAATATTTTTCTCATAATTTCTTCATAATTTCATAGAAGTTTTGAATCGGGGCTTCATCATGCTTTGGGTTCCATGACGTCAAATTTGGCGCAGCGAATTTTGGCGCTTTTGCTACTAACAGTATATATATACATTATAACAGTTAAAATTGGTTATCCCTCATTCAAAATTAGGCTGTGTCTGATTTTCTATTTCCATTTTTATCATCTATTTTTATTTTTTATTTTTATTTTTGGGATGTTATGCTGGGATTTCCATTTATAGTCAGTGTTACTTTAATTAATTCAATTCAATTGAAGCAATTGAGTCAATTGAAATAAAAGAATCAATTGACTCAATTAAATCAATTGAACCAAATTATAGTCTGTAAAGTTCCAGAATATAAGAGTCTTAGCTCACCATAAATAAAGATAACTCACTAGTGTTTTAAACTTCAAAATCATTATTAGTAGAAGTTGTTCCTTAATAAAACTATCCTTCTGACCTGAATTGTTAGTAGTAAAAACCTTTTCCTGTTCCAAATCGTAAAATAAAGTTGTCATTTCTTAGAAAAACCCTAAGACAAGTAAAAGTAAAATTTGTTTAAAGCACTTACGAAATAAGAACCAATTCCCAAAACATATATTATAAAAATACTTATTGTGTAACTCTTGTCTCTATAACCATATATTTATTTTTTAAAATGAAAAATGTCAAAGTATAAGAGAAAGTGTCGAATAATAAAATAGAACCCTTTTTAATAACAAAAATACATTTATTAAAAACCTTATTTTCTTATGACACATTGTTATCACTAATTAAGCCAACAATCAATTAATTGATTGAACAATTAACTGATTATTGAAAATACCCATGATATCATAACCCATGATATTAGCTAATTGAAGATCCAATTTTTGATAGATTTACTCATAATATAAATATTAGAATGAATTGGACATTTAAACTTCTGATTACCACAGCTATCCAAGTAACATAACATGTAACTCTAGAAGAAGCGAAAAATCATAATTCAAAGCAAGCAGAAATATTAGAGTTAGAATTTTGTATACAATCAAAACTACATAATAGTAAAAGGATACAGAATACTTATTGAAGCTGATAACATTATTCCAAGACCCGAAAGACTTTGAAACTCAGACCAAGTTTTTTCATACCTATCTTTTTGTCTTCCAACTCAAAATTCTTAGGAGTCTTGAAGTCTAGATTTGATTGTTTAATTAATAAATTTAGAATTTAGTTAGTTTTTGAAATTAAAATATTATATACTACTTTCACAGCATACATTGTAAAAGGGTAATTTGTAGCTTAAGATCGATTTTTATTTCATTTAAAAGTCAGATATATCTAAATTTGGCAAATTGACTTATTATAGTTAAAGATAGTCGCTGAGGTGGCTCAGGTCAAATCTTCTAGATATCTGTCATATTTGTCAGATATGTCAGATATGTCAGATCTGTTAGATATGTTGGATTAGTTAGATATGTTATATATGATAGATGGGTTATATAGATTAGATAGGTTATATATGTTAGATAGAAGTAGCGAATCATGTGTTAGCCTAATAATGCATATAAGAACCAAGAGTTTGCTATAAATAAAGACATCTCATGTATTGAGCTTTTAAATTAATACAAGTTCTCGCATATAATTCATATATTCATTTTTCTAATTTTCTGATAATCCTGTGATCCTGAATTGGAACTTTATGATATAGTCTAGAGCTCTATTTGGGCCTAATAACTCAGACCAAGCCTTTTTATGCCTTCTTTTGTACCTTCTACCTTTAGGGTTCAAATAAAGTTTGATGGTTATTGTGCAATAGAGTGTTGATTTGAATTGGTTTAGTTCTTATAGATATCTATGAGGCCTATATTTTGATACTAGGATTAATTTAGCCCCTCACAATTTGGTGGTAACTATGAGATTGGATTTCTAAACTCACATGAAACCAATCCAGAAATTTCAGACCAAGAAATGGATTTCTACTACCATCAAAATCAAGGATTCTCTGCAAGCCAGGTCAGATTATATTAATATCTGAAGAAAAATATGTGTCAAATGAAAGAAACCCAACTATTAAAAGCTCAAGAGAAGCCTTAGAATTGTAAAACATCTCAAGAAGTCTTTCAAAAAAGATCGTAGTACTCTTATTGTAACATAAAAAGACATAAAGTTCGTATATGTGCAGAAGTGCAAAAGTTAAAAAGAAGATATACCAATCTATTTGAAACTCTTATGAATAGACAAGCTACTAAGGTTCAAGAGATTATAAATAAAGCCTTCAAAGATATTTATATCAATGATACACAAATTTCTTAGGTACTGAGATTATTAATAAAGACATTAGAAGATTATATAATAAACAATAAGAATGATAAAAAAGTGCCAGTTTTATATTTTCTCTTATATATATGAATGACCTTACCTGCGAAAAAGAAAACTTCTGTAACAAAGTTGCGATATAGAAAGAACCATGTTATAAAAACTATTAACACCTATTTTGCTCCAAAAGAAACAATCAAAAGTAATATTAATAAGAAAGTTGGCTTGGATATTGCTACTAACCTGAAAGTAAGAATAAAAAAAATAAATATAAAGTACCTATTCGTTATTCAAAGTCTGCTGGTACAGATGATAAATAAGTTCTTGAATAGCCTGTAAAATCTGTAAAAATAAATAAGCATAAAAATATTATTAAAACTTGGTTTAATAATATCAAAGAACTTTTCAATCATCAACAAATAAAAGAAATAGAAATATTAAAAGAAACGTAATGAATACTGAGAAAATAGAATTAATAGGAACAGAAGTAAAAACTATAAATACTGGAATTAGAATGAGATCGATGTCAAAAAGAATAAACCTAAGGCATCTCTTTATTATCAAAAACCGTTAGAAGTATGCAACATTAGTGGTTCATATAGGCTTGAAAGCTATAGTCAAAATAAGGTTGAAGCTGAGTAAAACAATAAAAATAGCACCAAAAAGATAAAAATAAGATATCCACATATTACTAAAAACTAGTAAAGATAAATCAAATTGATGAAATATATAACTATAGAAATGGCAATAAAGCTAAAGAAAATAAATACTTACTATCAAGAATCAGCAGAGATGGAATGTATTAATAAATCTAGCTACAAAGATAAAATAAATATCAAAAAAAAAAAAATTCTAGTAGATTACCAAAAATTTGCTGAAATAGATTATATTGATGGAATTAAAGTTAAAAGCAATTATATAATACTTACTAATTATCAAGAGCTACAGGAATCCAGAAAAATATCTCAATTTGGTTCTAGGCAGCATAATAGAATAGGCATTAAAATAGATAAAGAAGACTCCAAATTAGACAAAGAACCCAATTATGAAAAGGTAGCCCATACCTAAATAATAGTGAAAATCAAAAATAAAGCTCTAATAAATTGCAAAAAGCCTACCACAATGGAATATGCCAATAGAATTTAAGTTAAAAAAGTCACGAATTATCCAAAGGTGCTTATTTATTATCAAAAACCTGTAAGTATAGCTCATAATGATGATACAAAAAACACAGAGAATTATTGTCAAATTGAAGTCAAAGAAGACAAATATAAAAAAGACATAAATGAAGCAAGCTCTGAATTAAAGGATAGATCTGATTATAGTACTATAGCTTTGAATATGATTAATAGTTACCTTAAAGAACCCAGAAATGCTGTTAATAAGAAGACTTGGTATCTTTGTAATAATTGGTTAGGCTTAAATGATGGTAAAAAATTTATATCTACTATCAAAGAAGTCAAATTTAAAGAAATAAAAAAATTAGACAAAGAAAACAATCCTGATTGAAAACATGCCCACAATAACAAAGCTAATGAAAGGATAAAAAAATACAATAAAGCTAAAAAGGTTCAAATGGATTAAAACACCTACCAACTATATGGAGTTGGAGTTAAACAAAATAAATATCAAGCATTGACAAGGTATTAGAAATTACTAGAGAAGAATAAAACTAGCTAAACATGTTATAAAAAAATTAGCTATCAAGATAGTATAAAGAGCAGAAATTATAAATTGAAAACAAAAGAATATATAAAGTTCAAACATCTTAAAAAAGCTAAAAATGATCAGAAATTAAAGACCTTGATTAGATAGCCAAAAGTAAAGAAGACTTGTAATTTAATCATACTTGGGCTTATTATATTTAACCTAAGCATTAACCTACTACTCATATATATGCTAATATTAACCAAAAGTTATTCTAAAATTAAGTATAAGATATTAGTATATAATTAAAAATTAGCTACAATGAATTATGCCAATGGAACAACATTGGTACTTGACTACATTAATCTAACTAGAATTGAACTTGAAAAGAACAAAAGCAAAGCAACCAACAATTACTAGAAAACTGCTAATATGGGTAATATCACTCAACTATATCGAAATGATATTAGTACAGAAAGAGATATTTAGAGAACAAATCATTGGATTGGAAAATATAGGAACCTTTTGAAGACTAGTAAATCATTAAATTATATCAATTTCAATTTAAGAAAATATTAGCCAATGAAGAATTAAATTATCTTGGATTAACTACTATATTACTGCAAAATAATATATACTTATGCAGTGTTTTGATTATCTGCATGCTATTTTGAATGTATGCATATGCACTATATTAAGGTAACTCCAATTTTTTAAGCATATATATCAGCAAAAATAAATAGACGTAAACCTCTGCAAGTTTTTATGTGAACGTAAACTTACAAAAATTTACGATTAGTTCAGAGTATTACGTAGGTGTAATAATTACGAAAGTTTACACTATAGTAA